AAGGTATTACTGATGATATAGTAAAAATAATACATAATCTTTTCACAAAAAACTCACCGTTTTTTCATTATGTGTTCATACTTTAAATTCTTTAAAATGGTTGCTTGTTTTATTGCTAATGGTTTCCTTCCGAGAGGAGGCTTCAAGGCTAGTCCATAGTCTTCTTTCCTGCGAGGTTCAATATTTTAATTCCATATTAAAGGCTTTAAATTAACTAAAGTAATTGATCATTTCCTTGGTAATTGTCGTTCTATGCAGTTTATAGTCAACCACTACTTTTTCTCCATTGTGGACTCCAACCAGGCTCTATTTGATTATTTGTTGAAGACTGCAGATCAAATACGTGCATTACTGTTAAATATTCCCCACCATATATTAACCTTTGTGGCAAGCAACTGAAAATAAAAGTTTGCAGCTTATATGTAATTAAAGATATTATGAATGCCGTTATTGAGCAATATAGCTAGATGGTTTTGGTAGAAGCATTTTGATTTTTGTTTTGAGATGAAAACCTTTTAAAATTGCCTTACTATATTTGTAAGGCATTCAAATTGGTTGAAATTATCTAATCTATTAAATCTTAAAGGAACCGGTACTTTTTGTTGCCGGTGATCTGAATAAACTTAAAATTAGCTAAGTCGATTTTTAAGCTTTGACATATTCCTGCTCCACCGATGTTATTAACGCTAACACAGTACCGTGCTACTAGAATCATATACGATATGATAGGCAGATCGGTCGAGTAATATTTTTTGTTTCAAATTCTTTTACGAATTACTATGGTACATATTAGTTAAAAATACTTGTCACAGTTAATTTTTTTTCGGAAATAATAATCGGTATTATTATCATTACTGAACAAGTTTCAGGATAGCATGGCCTACCTATAATAAAACTAGATCCTGGAAACTCATCGAAAGAGACTGCAATACTGCAAGGCTTACTGCAGTTCGTTCTGGTCATTGGTGTGCATGAACCCATTACTGAGCAAGTTTCAGGATAGCATGGCCCACCTATAATAAAACTAGATTCTGGGTACTCATCGGAAGAGATCGCGCGAACACTGCAAGGCTTACTGCACTTTTTTCTGGTTATTTGTGTACATGAACCCCTGCAGAGGATCTACGCATTTCTCATAATCGTCACTGCAAAAGTTGTGAGCTGCAGGAAAAAGAAACCATAGTAGATCTTCTCTGTGAATGCTCACTGAGCATTCAAAAGAAATAAGTTTTTAGGAAGATACAACTTTGAGATTTTATCATACTCTTCATCGGTAAAGATAAAAGATCTGTTAAATTATTTAATATCGACGGGATGGATTTTGTATTTACTTTTCTATAATGATTCCTGCAAGGAATGTGGTAGTAAAGGTTGTTTAATAGACTGCCACTGCAACCAACCATTATCGTTACTGCTATAGGAAAAACATAGTGATGATATGTGATTCACTGTAAGAGGGGACGCAAATGTACCAAGAAACATTTATTTAAAAAATTTACTAAAGCCTTCAAAGCATTTTTTTTAGGTTCATATTAAGACTAACGATAAATGTATAATTCCATAGTATAATGAATGCTCATTATTCTACTTTCTTCTAAAATATGGAAAGTTGCCCAGATCTGAGATAAGTGGGGTCACATTTAGTATAACACAATAGACTAGCGAACGTTTTGATTCAAAACTTAAATGATTTTAAATAGTTTTAATTCTTGATAAAGATAAATACCTAGAAATTATTCCACAGAAGATCTAACTGATTTTAAATATTGTGTAAACGGGATGGTAAATATTTAAATGAAGATGTTATATATATAACATATATAGGGATATATTAGATTGTTTGGATGGTAGCTTTATTGGCTTTGAAGGAATGGATAAATGAATTTCTTATAGTGTTTATTTATATTTATATTAATTCACTTTTTTTTTTAGCAGAGCATCATACGACATTCATAAAATTTGTGATACATATTGGCAAAAATATGATTCGAATGATTTTGGCAGTCCTCGCTCGAAATAAAATTTTGTCGTCCAAGAAATTTTTTGAACTTACAAGTTATGTAGAAAATGGTTAATATGATATACATTCATCCAAACTCTAAAAGCTTCGATATGAGATCTCTTATCATTTTTTATCGTATCATTTTTCTTATAATACGCTTTCCTTGAGCTAATAATTCAATTTGTCCAGTTGATGACGGCACAGTTCATAAAAATTAATTGTACTATGGTATATGCAAAGTTTGGGAATCGTATCAATGCATATTGCAAATTCATGAACGATTCATATTTGATTAATTTAACCTCATAGCGATCTTACGACTGTTGGCATGACTCAGACCTCAGTTGTCTTTATCAGTTTTAATTGCCTTTTCAAGTATGGTGCATCCTTAATATTAATATTATCGGATCGAAGTTGTGGAAAGCAGTTGTAATGGTCGTGACATCTTTTCGATATAAATTGAATAAATGTTTTTTTTTGCTTGAATACTATTCTTAAGTTTAAAAGTTAAATATACGAATATCCTGCTCCCTACTCTTTTGTACTTTATAATGCTAAGCGCATATAATAAAAAAGTGAATTATGCAGAAGTTACTTTTATGAAAAGGATGAGGAATCAGTCACTTTTTGTGTTTTCTTCCGGAACTATGGACGAGGTGACTTTAATATTTACCAGATTGTTCTTACAATGAGAGTGGTGAGATTATGAAAGTAGAATTATTGAATTCTACTTTCACTTTATGATTTAAAGATGTAATGGTTTTACTGGAATTATACCCAGAGTTATAATTAAAAAAAAGTAAGTATAGGTTGTCCATCCTTTTAACTTTAAGGGCATCAAAATGATTAATACTTGTGTCCTAGTTGAAGTGTAAATACCTATATTCATATCCATCTTATCAAGCATATCTAGCTTAGCGTAAAGGAGACTAATACCTTTAAGAGCCATTTTTTAGTAAATATCTAGAAGTGGATTTTTATTTATAAAAATATAATTTTTATTGCAAACCAAAAAGCCGGTGTGTGTTTCATTATTTTGGTTTAGATTTTTAATGGTTTGGGAATTATGTCACCACGCCACTGCAAGCTTTGAGGATTATTGTGATTATTTTGGGTTAATTCATTATGCTTTTTTGATTTATAAAACTTTTTACTCGTTAATTGTAGACTAAAAATGGCTCAAATTTTATTGTAATGTGCGCAAGTCGTTGATTTAAAAAAGAAATTAATTAATTATAATATATTATTTAATTTATTGAATAATTCAAATTTTTGAACCGAGATGGTGTTATAATGGAAAATGGAAAATTTTTCTTAACTATTCTGATTAATGATCTATATCGGGGTTGTCCAAAGCACGGCCCATGGTACTCATGCAGTCCGCGGTTAATATTTGTGCTCGCCACATATTTCTAATCTACCACAATTAGACAAATTTTTCTATATTATATTTTAGTAAAATCGCATTATTTTATTTTTATGGTATCCCAAATAAATAAAATAAAATTTTTTAAATAATTTATTACACGTCATGTTAATTTATTTAATTGACAAAGACTTTAGTATATATTTCTTTGTACAACATTATTTTAACATTACATTAAAAATAAAATATTTTTCGTATGGCAACAACTAATATTAGTAATGCTGATAGTGATAGAATTGTGAAAGAGAATTTAATGAAGAATTAATAAAACTAAATTTATCATTATCGACGTATTTTTATTTTTCTCCAGAAAAATTATGAACTTATGTATTTATTTCTGCGGTCCTTCAACTTACATTGTGACCGAAAAGCTTTCGGAAATTCTCATTTAAAATTCGCGCGCTGTATATTTTTCGATATTTTAAGTTTATGTAGTTTGGCAGCAATTACCACAATTACTATGCCAAAAATGAGCGCGATCTGTCAGACAGTTCGTTTACGGCAGCTGTTGAAACCAGTTCACCTCAGTAGTGCGTTGCGAAAAAAACAATGGAAAAAAATATTGAACAAAGAGTTTGCATCAAATTTTGTGTTTCGAACGAAATTTCGTGTGCAGAATCGTTGCGAATGCTACAAAAGGCTTATGGGGAATCAGTTTTATCGAAAACTCAAGTTTATGAGTGGTACAAAGCCTTTCAGGACGGTCGTACGACCGTCGAAGACATGCCGCGTTCTGGACGACCTTCGACCTCTACCACCGACGAAAACATTGAAAAGGCAAAGGAAATCGTGTTCCAAAATCCTCATGTGAGTGTTAGAGAGATAGCACGAGAGCTAGGCATCGGTCGTGAGATGGCTCGTTTGA